TTCCCCGAGAATAACACGAAACCCCGGTGGACCTTTCGGGACATCGAACTCAATCGCTGCTTTCTTTACCCTAACACATAACACGGAATTTCATGAAAAAAGTTGAAAGTTTAATCAATAAAAAATAATCCACCATGATTCCGATTGATTGCAACAGGACATAAAACTCGATGATATGCATTCCAACTCGCATGAAGGAGAAAAAATTTGAATCGAAATCAACACGAGATGAAAAAAGAACGCATTCACGATCATGGAGCGCGCTAAAAGAAAATCGACAATTTCTAAGATATCCAAGTCCGACAAGTGCTTGTGCATCAACAATCATGATTTAAATCTCAATAGCTCCTTCCAGACTTTTGTAAGAATGAGGGTAGGGCCAACGAATTCATTGGAAGAAATAAATTAAAAAGACTAATTTCAAAGCTAAAAAAAAACACAAATTGTAGTTTCGCTTCTTTGGGATACTTTACAGTACTTTATTAAATATATTTGATATCTTCGGGATAGATATATACACTATTGCTCATATTTAACCCGACGGTAGCATTCCTACTCCTTTCTTCGTTGCAATGGATTTCAAGAGTTACATGTTGAAGCATTGCCTAAAAATTGTGGCATTTCATTACACAAGCTGTACAATTTTGTTCATTACATATTACAGCAGAATCTGGTTACAACAAATAAGTGCTTACATCGAAATTTTTTAAAATCTGCTAGTCGTGATGATATTCAGATTTCGATTCAAACATTTTTCTTCATAAAAAAGCTTTTTCAAGTTCACAATTCGTCAATTGTGAAAAAATTGCACTGTATCAGATACAAAAATATACGAGGGGACTAACAAAAGTTCTCAGGATAAAAATTAAAATGGCATATGATTGAGCTGAAGAACAGTTCTTGTTAAATAAAAAATATTTACACAAGCGAAGAGCGGAGTGAAGAGCAGAAAGCTGCCACAGGGAGTTTTGCAAAAAATGCATGAAAAAAATGTCGAATAGGACAGAATTTTTTCTTTCGTGCCAAAGAATGCTTTTTCTGAGATAAAACTTTTTTAAAACTTGTTTCGCCTTACATTTGTGTGAATATAGCATTTTCATGTGCCAATCATCAACAATCAGTATTTATGTATTATTTCGGTTTCAGGAGGGCCCGCTCACCCACCGAGGGCTCAGGTCCCCCACTGCTCCTGTGTTGAACTCGTTATTTATACGTACCTTAGGCCTTAAGGCTTATATTGCGTGTCTGCCAGCTTTACTCGGCCAGAGCTCGTTTCCCGTAAATGAGATACCCGGAAGAGATGAAATGGGTGAATTCGAAGCGCCGTCCCGGAAATTTCGCCGTAGCCCAACTTTGTGAATTAGGAACGCATGAAAGGGGCAGACAAATGGGATTTCGCCCAATAATTCTCCCCCCGGTCGTCGACTACTGTAGTAGTATATTTCCACGGCGATCTCGGCACCAACAGACAACATTACGAGCAGCGTGTGTCAGCGCACCATCAAGAGTTTCAGATTCAACAACAGGAGCTAGAGAGGAAAGAAACAAGCGCAGTTCTTGTGCCCCATGACCCCTCCACTCAACCGAGAGATTTCTTTCTTGTCGCCGCATTTGCTTGCTTCTCCGCCTAATGCTGTGTTTTCCCAGAAACCCCCCCGGGGGGGTCCAGTGGCTATTCGCCAGACGGCGAAATAATGGGCAAAACCATTGAGATCACTCTGTGCGACATTGTGCGGCACAATGCGAGCGGGCGGCCGCAATAAAACCCGCGCCGGCAACAAAAGCGCACAGTTTCTTCCTTCTTATTCCGCCGCATTTTCCCTTCGAGAGGACAAGGCAGCGAGCGGGCAATATTTTTGACCCCACACACGATTGACCTCTTTCTCGGCCGATGCGAAGGACGGAATGTCACTGCTGTAACATGTACTCCAGTATCCCCTTTGGAACTGGCGACTTATATCCAAACCCGCGTCGGAATAAATACCCATAAAGAGAGCTGTACGGAATAAAAAAAAATTAAGTCACTCGCACGGATTTTTTTTTTTTTAGCGGCAGGATCATGGCCACTTCAAGATTACTAAAGCATTTCTTTGAAAAGAGTATATTGTCCTTTAATGACGAATAATAAACATGGAGACCATACATAAAGGAGTCATGGCTATGTTACGTCATATTCTAAGTTACTTCATGCTCCTTGGAATTGTTTTCGCAGGAGGTGCAATTTATCCTCTCTTTCTTTCAACCTAATGAACCAGGCAAACGTAGGTGATCGGATCATTTCAACGAATTCTCTGGATTATTTCAGTGTCTTCCTTTTATCCAAATTCTAATTTTGCAAGATTGCAACCGGGAATATTGGAAGACAAAATCGACCTAGAATTCATCATACCCTCACGGTTACGCCTCCATATTCGATATCAGACCTGATAACCTTTCAGCATTATCTGTAAGGTCCCAGTGCGATCAGGCATCATAAATGACTCGATGCATATACATAATTAATGGTTAGAATATAAACTTTGACTTTTAAAAGGAGAAAAAAAGAAATAAAAATGTGCGTTGAGGTGCAATTCTTTGATTAAAACAGGCAAGTCCCATGCGATGAGACGTCAGTTTCAACTGCATCGAGAAATATATTGAATATAAATTGTATTTCGGCTTTTAAAGATATTTTTCTGGAATATCCATATTTTCCAGCATTTACTGTATTTTTTTTTCACTGGATCAAATCATACACAGTCATCATTTTTCCACTCGTGACGTTAACAAGTTCAAAGTACTGTACGTAATTTATATAATCTTAACAATTTTGTTCGTTCGTTCACACGAGCCCTCTTGAAGAAATCCAGTCTTAGAACAAAGATCTCTCGCCAAATGTTCTTCGAAAAAACAAAAAAAATTTAAGAATTGAAAAAAATAGCTCGACTAAATCCCAACGGTTTCCGTTCTTTCGCAAAGTAATTCATAACAAAGGCAGAGTAGCCGACAGCTAAACAGAATTCAACCGCACGCGGATAAGCCAAGAGTGACAAATACTACACAGTGCCACGACGCAAGCAATTACGCGCTGCAAGATAAACCCGGCCGCTAAACGAGACCGACATTTGTTGCCGTATTTACATCAGCCAGTCCCGCAAATAACCCCCCCCCCCCCCCAACGATAAACCAGATCGAAATGAAGATGATCACACGTGGGAGGGCGGAGGGTGATTCGCTGATAGAAAAATAAATTGTGGCAGTAGAGCCAGGATAAGAGGAGGAAGGATCTCAGTCCAGGAAAACAAAACCAAACGAGAAAAAAAAACCACTGTATACATATATATTTATATATTTTATATATACAGTATAGACAACAAAAATAGAAGACATCGGCAAGAAGATTGCATCATACAACTCGACTACTCGAGCCACGCGCGTATATCCTGCACATCGGATATCAAAACTAATGGAGATCGCGCGTCAATTACTGTTGGGAAGACCGGGTGCAACGCCGAGTACCACGATAATGCATAAGAACAGCTGCGACGGAGATGAAGGGGAAAAGGAAAGACGGGCCAGCAGAGAAGGATGTGCCCCAGGGACACTTGCGGGACGCCGAAAGAAAACAGAAAAGCTGGGCGAGGATGCGAGGGAGGGGTTCGCTTCAAAAGTCTAGCGAATCACACGCAGATTCTCACTCAAGTTGGATGAAATCGAAGCTGCATGCCTCATCAAAAAACCCGTTTTCTTATTCGTTTGTGAGAAAACAAAAGTCATCGCTCTACAGATGTAAGAACTTGAAACAGAAAACAAAGAACTTTGCGGAAAACTGCATTGCACAGAGAGGATTTCCTGGAAGAAAGGAGCCATTTACTCTACTTTCAAACCTGCCCAGAGTTCATCAACCACAAGGGCAAAGTAAATTATTTTATTAGTGCTCAACTTAAGGACAAACCCCGTTCACTCCAACGATGACATCAACACTACTTTTTCATGAGTAGATTATCGCGTCTACGAAGTTCGTCATTTATGGTGAGAAAAAAAAACCAGACGGAAATGCTATGAAATGAAATATCGATGTCAATCAACTGGCGCCTTATTGTCTCGTAAAAAGATGTTCAGTCCTCCCTAAAGATCTTCGAAGTTCTGCACGATGTTTCTCATTAAATATCTGCTTGTATCTCAACTTCACATGTTCGTGAAAACAGTTGAACTTCGAAAACTCGAACCTCGCTATGTCAAATTTTTCACGTCCCTGTCATGAATTACGTAAGAATGAAAGCAATAAAAATCTTCTAAACTTGAGGGCTTTTCCTCCATAACACGAATTTTCAGAAGACCTTTCGACTAATAATATATTGAAATAAAACACGAGAGACGCAACAAAAAATTGGCTTGATAACATTTTGAAGCAAACGAGAGACTAATTGGACAAATAAACTCTTGCCTTCAGAATATCACTGCAAAAATTACTTATTATTTGTATTAAGTTCCTGAAATTATTTATTTCCCTCAACAAGTTGCTCGTTTTCCTACCTCGATTTTTTCGCTAGTTCCTTGAAATTTCGACTTGAAGAGGTTTGACTAAAATAAATACCATTCCATACAAGCCAAAATATACCAAGACAAAATAAAAGTTGATCACCACATTTCACGCGCTTCAAAGGAATATACGAAACGCAAGACTTTCGAGAAACCCCTCGCAAAAAAATAACTCGGAAATGAATAAAAAAAAAAAAAAGGAGGTTCACCGCCAGAAGCCAATCCCCATAATGACTCCCTCTCGCACACAGATTGAACTTGACATCCGCACCCGTGATCAGGGGAAAAATAGACCCGGCTAACGACCGAATCAATCCCCCGACTCGCGGGAGATACCGGAACAAACCAATGCCGACATCGCCGTTTCGTGAGCGACGGAACCGGGCCGGAAATAAGAACGGATCCGGGAAAATGTACTCACGATATTTCTCCGAATGGAGCGAACGCCTCCCGCAGATTCTCCGTGTTGATCTCCGGACTCAAATCTCCGACGAAGATGTGGTAGTGCTCTGCAAATACAACGAAAAAGAAACCACAACACAAATTAATGCCATAGATTCTTTGCATTCCCTTGAAAGAAAAAGAATAAAGTCCCCGCCATACTGAAGCGGATCGATCGCATCAAAATTCAATAACGACCTGCCAACAGAACCGGAACCACAAATCCAGTGCTCCTCGAAAATTCTATCCCAAAATGGGGGAAAGTACAATTTAAATTCTGCATAATTTTGATAAATCATCCAAAATGATAAAAATTTACTTTTAAAGAAACCGACACCGAACATACGCAATAGGGAAAGGCCAATTTTAAAACGCGTAAAGCCCCTCAAAATCTGATCCTTCAACGAGGATGGGAGTCCTTCAGCCATCGTATAACGCTGAATTATCATAAAATGCTCGTCATGTGGCATACGACCAAATTTACAGACGTAAGCAGACACACACTTTCCAGCAGGAGACAAATTTATCTCAACATGATCGTCACGTGCGAGTTGGGCTGATAGAAAGCTTTATTGCTTGAAACGTTTCACAGTTAAAAAAAAAAACCTGAACAGTATGGATTTGCAATTCAAACTCAGCTTGATGTTGAAACTTTGTACTGCTTCGATGATACCCGAATTTGCCAAAATTCACGCATCCAGGTTTAATTATCAATGCATCACCATCCAATTTTGATTCTCCCGCCAAATCTTTAAACATTTTCAAGAAGACGTCAGAGACGATGAAAAGATTTCCAAATTCTTCATACTAAATTCGACGAAATCTGTACCGTTGGGATTTGAGAATAACGTACACCCCGGATTGAAGCTATACCGCAGTGCGGCGCTACCACGCGCGATTTTAATCAAGGACAGAAAACATTTAATGGCGTACAAGACGAATAATACACGCGAGAAAATTTGCAGCACTAAAAGTTCTCTTCCGCATGGATCCCCCACAACCAGAACTCCTTATTCTCACCCAAAATTTTCGTCGTCAGCGAGATAGCGAGTGAAACTGATACTCCGCCGATTTAAGAGAGCTGGCAATCCAGCCTTGCCACCTCCAGAGGTCGATTAATCAGACAACCCTATCGACCTCGGCAGACCCTAGCTCGCCCTCATTACCCTCCACTCTCTGCTCGCAAATACGCAACACAATCCCTACGCCTGCATCTCAGCAGCAGCACCACCGCCGAACGAACGGAAACAAGCATTCCATTAAAACGTTCCCAGAGCATGGCAGGGGATATTAGAAATTCCAGAGGCCAGGTTTTCGATTAGCGGAGCCAGAGCGAAGCAAGATAGATCGCGAGTGGAGCTCAGGGGGGGGGAAAGGAGGAGCAGCAGCAGCAAAGGTTGGGCTGCCGACTGACGGCCGGCATCGGGAAATAACACCCATGCAGGGAATGGTTCCATTCCGACAGTCCAAGCACCGGAAGGAAACGCCGCGTGTTCTGCTGGCCAGGCGAAAGGGATTCGCAGGTATCCATAGAATGAATGCCAACGAATTTAAAAAAGAAAAGCAACAATTTCTTTCAATTCCAGACTTTTCTGCCACAACTAGTACGAAACTAACTAAAGCATTCCAGTTGCAGTAACGTTTGAAATGTCAACTGCATTTAATGTGTCAACAAGGCAGCGCCAAGTTTTTTCAAGGACGCCTGGAAGTGTTGATTCAGTTGAGGAACGAGATGCAGTACATTATTTCAGAAAGGTAAATCAAATCGGCAATAAAATTTACCGTCAAGTTCGATTTTGAAAAATTTTCATGTCAAGTTTAATTTTTTAACCTTCGGTTCTTCCGTCTTCCGTATTGCGATCAACCGTAGTCCGAAGTACAGTACAGGTGAACTCTCTTTTCAACGATCTTCAGACCGATTTTTCCTGGTCCCTTGAAGTTCGTTGTGAAGAGAGTCCACGTATACTACGCGACCATCCTCATATGCTAATTATTGCCCTTCCAAACCATAAACTCGTTGATAGGAAGTTAATCGAAGATGCCCCAACTCAAGTTAACCCAATCTGACCACGAAAACTTCGCTTGGAATCGCGCGTATTGCCGAGGACAAAAATGCCCGATTTTTCATTTCACCTTCATCAAAATTTGGGAGCAACACACCTTTCATGACGGCGTGAAATGGTCATTGAAAAAAATAAGAACAACTCTCAGTTTTCAAGTTTAAATTTCCAATCGTATTTAATCGAAGAACCCCTTTCGAAATTTCCTCGCGAACCGATTGAGGTGCAGCTCCTACACGCGCCAGAGATTCCTGGGACACCAGGGGATTCCTTCTCATCAAACTGAAGCTCCTCCAGCGGCATTCCCAGAAGGCCCAACACTCCGTAGCACGGGGTGATCTCCAACTTCGTAATCCACAGAACAGTTTGGACAGAAGACTCAACATCATAAGTTTATAAACAATTTAATACTTGATGGATCCATCTTCAGGAGAAAGGTGGTTCATGGCATACATAGCATTCAATCCACCGCAAGAGATTCACAATGAATTTTGAAAATGGCAATTACAAGAAAAATGTAGCATTTGCATCTTGCACTGCGAAACCAGTTCTTGCTCGTTGAAAGAAATGGACCCGAAGTGCTTCCGACGATTTTTCAAAGTAAATAAGGATAGGCTCGTTGGATCTGGACTAAACAATTCGTGGTTCGCAAAATATCCTAGAGCCGAGAGCAACTTTTTTCAGCCAAATAACTAGCGCTTTTCTTCTGTCAAAGAAGTACAACAGGTTTCATTTTCCACGATGAAATCGAAGCCACGCGTGTTTTAATATTTTGTTTTGTTTTCAGCATGCAGTGAACAAAAAATGCGAGATGTTGAAACGTGTTTTTAGAAACTAGTCGAACGAGGGTTAGAAGGCCTAATATAAGACATATTCGAAAGTTTTTGAAGCACAACATAAACCCGGGATTAAGGTTGCGTCATTCGGGATTAGGTTATTCTCAATCAAAAGTTCAATGTTTTGTATTCTGTCGGGCCAATCAAAGAATTCAAGTGTTACATTCGGCTATTTTGGCTTACGCTCACATTAGTTGCCACCATTGCGGACAAGAGTGCAAAAATTAAAAGATAAATCGGAAAAAGTGCAGCATCGCCTGCTACAACAAAGGAGCATTGTACTGTACCAGGCTCCCCTCAGGGAGCTGAAAACCGTCACGTGCGCCTCGAGGGTTCTTTCATTTACTTTCCTTCTCGAAATGTTCACAGGTACAGGTACTGTAACTATGCCATCGCCAAATGCATCACGAACTCGGGCGTGGCGAACGAACACACATGTCGTAAGGTGTGCACGGTACATACACCGACGACACACGCCACGACATGTGCAACTCTCGAGGACAAAAAACACGACGGGGGTAGCCAGAGCGGGAGGCAAAAATAAAAGGTCTCGTCAAGACCATTTAATCACCGGCGAATCGCGCAATCTTGCAATTCAGTCGACAATCTCACGACCTCCGAAATAATGAAACAATGGTTCATTTCCCCGAGGCCCCTCCGGGGGTTCATCCGGGGCTCGCGCGTGCTCTCCTCGTTACCCCTCGCGGAAGCTCATCCGGTCGAAAAGAACCGAGTGGAATGGGCAATCAAATCCCGCACGTCTCACTTCCGCCGTACAGGGGAAAACCCGAGAAGGTGAAGAACAAGGACTAGAAGAAGAAGAAGAAAAAGATGGGGGATTGCAGAGTGGAAGAACGAATCCCGGGGATTCCTGACGAAGTGGAGTAGGATGCGGAGGAGGATGAGGAGGAGGTTGAAACGGGTCCCCGGGCGTAATCCGCGCTCGCTGTTATTCCTCGCCTCTTCCAGTGTCAAATTTCGCACTGCAGCAAGGTTCATTTGGCGCAAAACCGGCTACGTGTCACCTTCTCTGCCATTACTAACATCAATGAACACACACCCGAACTCGACATGCACAAACATACATAAGGCTTCTATTTTGAAGCACGGATCTTCATTTTAGAGTTGCGCCTCGCCCAATAAATCCAATTCGTACATCGGTATGCTACATGCAATTCAACAAGGCCCTTAGGTAACAGAGGGAGTTTTTGACATTTCCATGACACAAAAATGGGTTGAAGTTCCTGATTCAGACACTTCGGGTACCAAAACAAACTACGTGCTTGCTTACGCGCGAAAAAACAAAATAAATACCTCAAGTCGCAGCTTTTTAACTAATGGTTCCGGCGAACCACCAGTACCACTTGATAGCCACACGGTGGTGCACGAAATTACACGAAATAATTCGTAAGAACTGGGATTTTTGACTGTTGGAAGAAGTACAGTAAATCGTTCAGTGGTACGCGTAATTTCCCATAAACGAAGAGAATTGTGTCGAATGCAGGCTTCTAAAATAATGGAACCTGCTGATACAAAAGAAAAAAAAGCACGGAATGCATGATGAATCGAAAATGATTGAATATGAATTTTCAGGGGGTGGGAAGGGAGGGTACAGTATTTTTTGTTTTTGTTGAAACGACTAAAGGCTCTGCCCAGGTGATCTTGACGACGCGGATACACCGAAGAAATTTTTTCTGTAGTGCAGTACATGGACTCTTTCCCGCTTTAAAAGTAGTGTACTGTATTTCGTTCAATCGATAATACCTTTCGAATAAACCGTATTTTTTAAATTTCCGATAGTCCAGGATATAGAAGCTCGGTGGCTTCGCACACAAACCATCGGAATGAATTCCCGACAACAACAATGAAAAACGTTAGTCAACATGGAAGACGACGAAAACTCTTTACACAGTACTGTTTCTCGTACAGTATTTTCTTATAGTCCCTCCGAAATGAACTTACACGCGAAAAATCTCAGCGACGCTTGTCGACTTCGTCACGACGAGTGCAAGACGCTCAAGCAACAACACCGTTTCCGGTTTGTTTGTTTTGTTTTTTTCCCCCTCCCCCCCGGCCCCGTTTCCATGAGCCAAGCATCCGGAAATCGAATCAAGCTTGTCGCGGCAGCAATCTACGAGTTCGCGCATTTTCTCGCTTCCCTTTCGTTCCTTGGCCACCCGCTCTTCCTACATTTTCTCAGGCCGTTGAATTCGGGCTCCCGAAGCTCGAGGAATATCAACTTGTTTGCCATCTCTATTTGCCTCAATTTTCCACGTCCCTCGATCTCAGCAGGTGTGCCTAGTGCCTCAAAAAAATAAATACGAATAAGAAAGGAAAAAACTCTTCATTCGAGTGCTTCTCATCGGGCAAATAGCGACAGCGACAAGAACAGGGCGAATTCCCCCATCGCGTTTCCGTCTCCCAATCGAAACCAGAATTTATCGCACACGTCGATGGGGCACCGACTTTCTCAACCAGGCATTGCATCTCGTCAAAAATTTTATCGATCGATTCGACCCGTTCATTTTTGCGCCAGTATTTTAATAAAACCGACGAAAAAAGTGCATTTACAGAGACAAGCCATCTCACACTTGTATCATCACCAGCAGGTGAATTTGACGAATTCGTCCGTTAACATCTTCCAGAGGAAAACCAGATCGCATTGGAACTCCTCAATGCTGTTCTCAAATAATGTAATCGTGAATTCGATAGATTTGCAGAATAATGCTTCTGAAAGATGTCATTAAAAATGAGAAATAATAAAAACTTCAATCTCCGTTTTGCTTGGAGTCCTCTCACTCGAATGTTTCCAGAACATACCACTACGGTGCTCGAAAATTGCAAAACAATTGCTGAGGTTTCTTCACGTTATTGCAATACAGTATATACGGTGCATTATATTCTAGATCTAGATCCTCGGTTACGTGCGTCTTTCGATCATCCCGAAGAAGGCATGCTAATCTATTCCCCGAATAATTCAGGAAGCAAAAATGCTTAAAAGCGTCTTGGTCAACATTACAATAAGTTGATCTTGACATTTCCACCTTTCAGCATAATTCCCATAATTTCTTTTTTTTTCATAATAATTCAATATGCAATCAAGCCATCATCTCGGCTATCCAACTCACACGCTGTCGAAATTTCAGTGAATTGAGATTAGGATACCGAAACAGCTCTCATAATGTCAATCCCATGCGAAAATCGATTCTCGACAACCATAAAGAGTGAGTGTGGGGGTAAAACCTCGGGGAAAGTACTGCACTGGCAAATGGCAACGGTGATCGCGTTCGAGGTTAGATTCCAAGCAAACTCCTGGTATGACAAAGTGAAAAGAATAGTTAGCACGCGACAGATCAGAGCCTTCTCTTAGCTAGTTTGTTCTTGGGTCGTCGCCGTCCAAAGCCCGTTGAGCGCCCTTTTAAGACTAGTACTGGCGTTCTTTTGTATGTCGAGTAATGGCCGATAAGAGCGAGACAAAAAACAGTTCCGGTTCATGCAAATGAGTCCAACGAACAACTAACGGCCAATAACCATGTCAGTTATTGCTCCGCAGCTGCATTAAGGGCTGTTGTTGAGGACTCAAGAGGATGCTATCGTACAAGGAAGTACCGCACAGAACAATAATTTTTGGCAGTAAATTACTATCCATGAGGAAAAGTTCAACAAATGAACTGATAAATCCCTAATTTGTTATCAATGAGACCAAATTATGCTGGACGTTAAATGGATTCAAGAACAGTACTGTATTAATAAAAAAACACTGGAAGACATGAATCCGATGTCCAGACGAGGCAAAAATGGATGCAGATCTGAATAAAGCTTGAATTGAGGGGATAATCTGCTTGTGATTCAATCGACAAAGACCCAGCTCATGAGAAAATTGTGACCTGCACAGTGAAGCTTGAATAGTAGGTGATCCTGATTGATAAGAAATGCTAACTTCTCGCACATTTTCAACAATAAAAAAGTTGATGTCCAGGAGTGGCTGTGCAACTCGAGCTTATCTGAATTGAGGAAAATCTTCTAGGAATCGTCATCTTTTGAAAATCATTTGTGCGAAATAAAAGATCTCTTCTCTCAGATCTCTTCATAGAAGCAGCGTTCAATCGTGGTTTAGATGTAGAAGACAATCCATTCTTCTGAATTTGTTCATTGCTTTGAATTAAAATATCAAATATTCCTCGTGAAATATTCCGATTAACGACTGCGTCCGAAAGCTTAAGATAAGGATAAATTTGGCTCTAGAAAACCCGAAAATCAGCTATGCAAGACTCACTGCACTTGTACTTCGCGGTGACCAAAACACATCTGCTTTATTTTTCAGGAGCTTCACCATCGAACCCGCGGATTTTGGTAATAAAGTCCTAAATGAAGATGCAAGCTTTGGGAAGAATAGCCGAGAATTTCTGCGTAGTAAAAAGGCCTCATTCGTGAAGTACAGTAGTCTTTTCTCTTTTTTTCGTAACA